ATGTGGTTTCATCCTCCAAATCTGAAGGCTCGAAGTATAAATGTCCCTGCTTCAAATATTCGCTGGTCTCATAGATCTGTAAGGCCTCCTCATTACACACTCTCAGATCATCCTCTACTTTATACCCCTGTAGCATATTACACCATTACAGGGGATGTTCTACATAATCTTTCTCTGTGTATAGGATGCACTTGTAAATACTTACCTGGTTTACTTCTTAAGTCTTGATGTCTGAAATACTACTTATTATAAGAACATTCCATGGAATCCTTGTTGAATGAGTAAAAAATAGCCTCTACTAAATTTTATAAATAGCAGCTGCGTTCAAAAAACAGAGAAATACTCAAGTTAAGCCGTCTTCCATGAACATGTACCTCCATCAGTCACTTTGGCCTCAAACAGTCAGGGCCATAATATAAATATTGCAACAGCAGTGACCATCTTGACCAGACTCATTAATCAAGCACACCCAGAATGTGCTGCTCACAGAAACTTGCTAAAATATATTATTTTTCTTATTCTTAGGTTTTGCTGAATTCAGTGTGGCTAGAGTTGATTTGTAAAACATCTGTTTTAAAAAAATGTCACCAAAAAAACATTGGATATTATCTAATTACTTACAATTAATTAACAAAAGGCAGGGAAAGTAATTAGTTTTTAGAATAATAGGCCATTTCATATATACAGTAAAGAAATGAATGCGTGCAAACATATATTTTGAGAACTAGTACAGTATCTGTAAGAAATACCTACTTGTCAGTGTAACCTATCTTTTTCTCTTCCACTAACACCCACCATCATTCCAATGTAAAAATCAATTTCTAAATGAAATAGAATCATGGTGAAGCTGGCAGAATAAGAAATGTGAAAAAAGATTACCATCTGGAAAATGAGTATTAATAACTAAAGAACTTCAGGTTCTAACATAAATGAGAGATATTTAAAATATCTTGACAATATTTCTCTTTCTCAAAATTAACTATTTTATAGTGTTGAAAAAAAGCACTTGGAGGCTTCAAATACATTACATGAATTTGCTGAAAGTAATTTAGTAATATTAAAAATTGACAAAGAATATGCTTTTCTTCATGAAAGTATGTGTGAAACTGTGTCATGTTAATTGAACCCTGCTGTGGCAGGCAAGTAAGAAGCTGATGTGCATGGAGTACAACCAAGGCTACACTCTCTAGAAAGGGGGATTTTAAAAGATGATGGGAGAAAAGCTGCATGTGGAAGCAGTACCTTTGTTTGATATATTAAATGGAAAATCATTATAATAATGTTCCCTCTCCCTTTGCATTTAGAAATTAGGAAGGATAGAACACATTTTGTTCCCCTCCCTCAGTATTATGACATCCAGCAAGGCAAGAGAAGTAAACTACTCCAAAATGTTTTGTTTGTTCTACTTGTAGGAATAAAGGGAGAGAATTCTTCTTGTTTTCTCCTTGATGGAGATAGAATACCTAAAACAGGGCACTGTCGATACAGCTTTGAGGATCTAATTTATTCCTTATCATCTCTGACTGCACAGGAATTGTGAGAATAAGAGAGTGCTAATCTAACCTCTCACTGATTGTGTGGACCATAAGGTCTAAAGTTACAGATCAACTGAGGCTGTGTTTCAGGGTAGATTACATGAACCAGGAAAGGAGAGACAAGATGCAAGTAGATCTGGAAAACAAACAGAACAATGGAGAAATATGGTAGAAAGTATTGAGGGGATCATGGGTCCTGACTCTACTTCTCTCTATTCTATGGATACCTCAGTGAAAGAAGTCAGATGTTTTTTTTTTTTTTCCTGATTTTTTAGGGAGGGCATCTTTCATAACAAGAGACAGTCAACACATCTGGAGTAGCAAGAAAGGAGAACGAAATCACCTGAATTAGATCATATGTACTTTGTTAGGGACAGTGTCACATTTAATTGTCTGGGGCACTGCTTTATGCTGGCACAAAAGTTTGCACTCAGTAAATATCTCCTGAATGAACGGATGATTGTTTCACAAATAGGAGTAAAAGTGGTGCAGATCATTAGAGTGGCATATGGATTGCCAATGTTATATCAAATATAGTGATGAGTTGGCTATGGTTGCGCACACCTGTGGTCCCAGCACTTGGGAGACAGAGGCAGGAATATTGCCATGAGTTCTAGGCTAGCCTGGGCTACATAGTGAGTTCAAGGCCAGCTTGAACTATACAATGAAACCCTGTCTCAAAAAAACAAAAACAGAGTGGTGAAAGACTGTATTTAGCTCCCCCATTTGCGAGGGATATAATCTTAGACAAATAATTTCTCATTACCTCAATTTCTTCATTTTTTGAAACAGGAATTGTATCTACAAGAGATAACTTTTGTGAAGATTACATGAACTGAAAATTAGAATTACATAGACTAGTGCCTTGTTCAAGGTAAACATTCTGTGCACGTTAACAGTTTTTATCTCTACTAGTAAAAAGCTAGACAAGAGTACTCATCAACAACTTAAGTTTTTCATGTGTAATCTGTCATGTCCTTCAGATGAACTACTACAATTCTGGACAACAGTCAGGACAGGAAAGAGCCTGTAAGGTCCTTATTCTAGAAGTGGGGAAACCAAGCCCTAGAGCCAGTAAGTGGCTACCCAAGGATACCCCTCCTAGGGCAGAGACAGGCCTAAAATCCAGTGTACTTTCTTGTTTACTTACAAACAAACAAAACAATTAAAAATTGAAGTGTAAGTAAAATAGATGCCCATCAGCAAGATGATTAAGGGCTGTACTACAAGACTATAATACTTGATGTTTTTGCTCTTCAAGTTACAAGTTACAACTCTCAGTAATTTGTAAGAGATTATGTGAAATGATGTATTATAGACATTAATTGTAGTAAGGATGGGCTGCTTTTTGTCTAGTTATATAATTTATATGAAGCTGATTAAAAGTATTCAGAGTAATATGAAAGGATAAATCACTCAGTGTGATCTCAGTGTGATACCCAGATGCCTATAGTTGTAGTTTATTTTAAAGAACAAAACAGACAAACAAATTCTAAAGCCAATTTTATACTATAGCTCTGAGAAACTTCAGTCAAATATATTTTGAGTATTGTTCAGACTAATTATCATTATAATGTAGGCTGTTACATTTGTGGCCTGGCAGCATCCCTTTATCTACACAAGCATTCAGAGTTCTTGCATTTCAGTGTGAATGCTTATTTCCAATAATCACAGTATAGGGAAAATCAATTTCATGTGTTTTTCCCTGTCGTCTAAATTTTTAAGCAATTAGAAATCTAAAGCATTTAAATAGTTGAGAATAGTGCTTTTATCATTAATTATATTTCCCTGTTTTTATAATGCATAAAGTCACAAATTATATTTTTAAATATAGTTTTCTTTGAATATACTCTGCACCTCAACAAATGTACATATAAGTTTAGAAATAGCCTTAATCACCAATGATCAGTTGAGACTCAATCAGGATTCAAAGAAGTCAGATAATCAGATTCCTTGAATTAAAAAAAATTATGATCTATTTATAGTTCTATATTTTTGAAAAAAGTCAACCAATAAATATTTAGATGGTAGCTCATAATAATTTCTTCAGCATGGTCCTGAAAGAGAACCTCAAACACCTTGATATGTCTTCTAATTTTTCCAACAAACCTTTCAGTTATACCAAAAAATAACTCTTAGTGGTTTGTTGTAACCTTCAGAAATAATATTTTTCTCAAGAAAATTTATTAAAGTGGGGAGCACTATAAATGAATCAAGCCAAACTATAATAAATCTCTCCAGGAAAAGATGAAAGTTTTGTTTTATCTCAAACATTTAGTAACCAGACAAATGTTCATTTTTAAGGTCAAGGGAATTTTCAACCTATATGACCAGTTTACAAATGATATTTGTTTACACAAAGAAACAAGTCTTTTTTATCATCAAGACCATAAAGGAAACAATAACACTATTAAATCAGAAATGGCATGTATTGTTTTAACTAGAAAAGACAGACAGGCTTCTATTAGCAAACCTCTTGATATGTTCAGTACTAGCTTTAAAAGAGTTTGAAAACTCATTTTCAAATACAATATGGATAGGGAGCTATGTCTGAAGAAAGAAAAAAAAATTCCCTTCTACTGAATATCAGAGTTGTTCTTTCATCATTTTGCTCTTTAGTGGTAAACAGTACTGTTCAATAGTTGATAACAAGATATTTTCTAAGGGCAAAAAAGAAGGAAAAATAATGAGTTCAAGATCAGTTTCACGTGTGACTCAAGATTTTATATGTATCTTAATCTAATGTTAGGAATGTAGTTGCATTTTTTTAGAAGAGTTTTCCTTAAAGCTCTTAAGATTACCATATCCTAATATATTCATAAAGAATATAGATACATTTTTAACTTTAAATGACTTTGAGGCTAAACAGTACCCAGATATTAGAAAAATTAGTTGTAAAAACAATCTGGGTAAACCCTTAAATAATGTAATTGGGGTTTTTCCCATCCCCCCCAAAAGTGACTATATTAAATGAACGATATGCCTATCTTAATTTAAAGCTTTCACATTCAAAACTTAGGCTGAACATTTCCTTTTAGCTCTCTTATTAATCACATAGCCTTAAATAATGTTTATAGAATAAACTGCATCAGACACAAAGCTTTTGGATCAGGTAATTACAGCTGAAATTTTTCATGTTACAAAATTCTGTCAAGACAACAGATGTGGTATGTTTAACAAGACTACTACTATAGAATAATTTTAAATTGTTAGTGGAAATCTTAACTACAAATAATCATCTAAATAATCTTTTGAAAGTGAAGCTTTGTGATTATGCCTCAGTGATAATAATCCATTGTTTCATTTAACTTAACCAAAATGCTCTACTTATTTAAAAATAAAATGGGGCACATATTCAATCCTGTAATGCTTGATTACTTGGAAACAAAGTTGTTATCTCTTACAAAAACCCTTGCATTTACCAGTGAGCCATTAATACATAATGAAATAAACAGAAACACTTACCTGTAATTAGAGTACAAAGAGTTGAAAATGCTGGACAAACTTTCAATAGACAAAAAGAAACTGAAACGGCAGCATCTGCTGCCATCAGCTCAGGTTTTTTGGCTTTACAAGTGACAGCAATACCAGTCCTGGCCCAGTACCCTTGCGTTATGTAACATCTTATTAATATTGGCCATCAAACTGCTACCAAGCTGGTGAGGCACTAGAGGGCAAGAGTGTCACATGCAAGACCCGCCGCCAAGGGACCGGCTTTGGTACCACTTCGGCGAGACAGATGCTAACTAAGCTGATAAATAACACGATGCCTGAACGCAACAACGAACTTGCAATGTTCCTCAAAGAATATTTTAAATGTCAGTTATCCGACTAGCCGAAGAGTTAACAGGATAATAAATATGCATAAGCAAATAACCACTCTATGCAAAACTTTCAGGATTATATTTACAAACCCGCAGTCACTCAAGAGGCTATTTTTTTCATTGTTTAAATAAACTTATTCCAAAACAGGAAAGGCTGAATAAATAAAAGGAGTGTTGATTTCAGAATTCTTTCATTTCAAGCCCGGAGAAACTTGTTAATGAGATCGCGATCGCGGTGCCACCTCCGGAGTCCGCACTGCAAGTTGCTCGGGTCGGGCTGTGGGGCGAGGACTAGCCGAATCCCGCACTGTGATTACCTCGGGCTGCAGCCGTTCGCGCGCATCCTCCTCCCCGGGTCCTCGGCCTCCGCGGGTGTCCGAGGCCGTCCTGCCGTCCCGGTGGCAACGACCCGTGGGCGTCCTTCCTCAAGCTGCCCGGCGG